ATAGCCATGCTTCGTTCAGTTCTTTTTGAAGCCTGGGATGCCTGCCCTTCCTCTTCAAACTGTACTTTCCTCGATCAAACAGGATTTTGATTTCAGAAGTGGCACCGTCGTCGCGAGCTGTTTCTTTCTCCGTGGTGTTGGTTATAGCTTTCCCCGTCCCCCCTTCGTCGGGCGGTGCTTGCGTGGGGGGTGTGCCACCAGAAATCGGGCTTGAAGCTCTCGCCTTACCAACGAGCCGACAGCTGATGGCTGTTGGTCACGACTACTACCAAAAAGCTCCAATGAAGATGAATATTTCACATGGAGGAGTGTGCATCTGTATGTTGGGTGTTCTTCTGTCGTGCGACCCGGCGGCTCATGTGCGACCTGTGGCCCACACCTGCTTAACCTTGATAGGAAGATGGCTTATTCAAGAATTCGTGCATAAGGGTAAGGAACTTTGGATGAACTAATGCGAATGGGTGTAAGCTTCGCTGCTCGGAAACACCCAGTGCCGACCACACTGAGAGACAGGAAAGCGCAGGTAACGCCAGTTGGCGAAGTGGCGTTAAGCATCCCTAGCGGTACGAAAAGAGAGGTCGTGATGATATCATCTACGTCCGTACCGCTCCTCGTGGAGTAGATCCCGCATCCAACCAAGTCTTTGACCAGGGAACGGGAGAATTCCCACTACCGCTGGTAGGCCAGCCGGGCCGTGAGCGCGGTGGGAACGGACTTCCCAAAAAGCCAGCCCCGGGCCGGGGTCAGCATAAAATGAAGGGGACGGCCCTAACTAATGTTGTGTTGGCAAAGCCAACTTCTTGGGTTGCGGGCGGAGAAAGAGCGGACGTGGGGACTCGGGTCGGGGCGCAGCCTAACTAAGAGAGCCATTCCACTTAGGGCGAGACAGAATGGGCGGGCACGAGTGGTCTGGTGTCCGAGACAATTGGTCAGCACATGATAGAGAATTGAATTTGTTGTAGAGATAATATTGGTGCAATCAAACGTGATCTTCACCTCTGTATTCAGTTTCACTTTTATACACATTTACAGGAGAGTTTGTTGAGGGAGAGTGGGAACGTGTACAAGAAAGAGGGAGAGTGGCTAACTAATAGGTACAACAAATAAAAAGAATTATTATTCTTTTTCTCTAATAGCACATCAGTCTTGCACTCACTGAACACTTGCCCCGACATAGCGCTGACTCCTATCCCCAATTTTTTTATGAATAAGCGCGAGTTTTATTTTTGGATAATGGCGAGACTTGTATTGAAAAAGAAAGAAACAGAGTACAAATGGGGGCAGTAGTTCAAAAGAGCTGAACCAGCTACCACCCACCCAAACATAGACAGGCAGCGAGAAACTAAAACAGAGAAGAAAAGAAACAAACAACTAGAGCTGAACACATCTAAGTGGAACAGACCACTTCTGATGGGAGCAAAATAAAACAAAACAGTTGGGAGCACAGCCGGAGATGCAAGCACCGAAAGGCCCTGCAGCCCAGCCAAAAAGCAAGAAACAGCACACAGCCACTGCCAACAAACCCGAACAGATCCCAAAGCCCTCCTACCCCTGCGCCCGATGCCGAAAGCTTCCCTGCAGCAATCCCATTTTCTGCTCCATCCACAAAAGGCCATTCTCCTTAGAGACTTTGTCATGGGCAGTCACCCAACCCACATCCGCTCTTATCGCTTTCCGGGCAACCACCACAGGGGGGCACTTAGTATCCCTAAAGATGCGATTGTTCCGCTCCAACCAGATCTGCCACCAAACAGAGTGGAGGCCACAATAATTGATCCAACCCGACACATCCCCAGCCTCATCACACTTCCAACCGACCAACGTTGTCAGGGCATCCTCCCTAGGACGATCAAATCCATCACAAGCCATCTGCATCAAACTCCAGACCTGTCTACTGAAAGCGCAGCCTGAAAAGAGATGATCCACCGACTCCTCTTCCTCACAGCAAAGCTCGCAGCGATTCGCCATCACCCATCCTCTCCTCTTCAGATGATCAATGGTAAGAATCCTCTTATGCGCCGACAGCCACACAAAAGCACATATTTTGGAGGGTACAACGCGTCTCCAAATCGAATTAGCTGGGAAGTTAGGAACCCCCGGGAAACGCCTGTCGGCAAGTGGCCTATACATGGAACGCACAGAAAAAGAGCAATCTGACCGGGGAGCCCAGACCAATCTACTAGGCCCACTGCTCACCCTATTAGTGCCATAAGTGTTCAAAAAATTAATAAGATTCACCCTCTCCCTCTAACCCCCCCCCCCCCCTCAAACTAGTAGACAAAGGAATAACCCAGCTAGAAGACTCACCATTGCAGGTATGGGAAGCAGAGACCCAGGCATCAGGGAATTCAGCAGCAGCAGCGACGCGAGGGAAGGAGACCGCCAGGGTTGCCTCCGGGATCCACCGATCGTGCCAAAATGAAACCCATGCACCACATCCAGGATCGATATTTGCCCAATTCCAGAACTCCTCATACCCCTTCGCTATATTCACCCAGACAGAGCTCGAAACACCATGACCGCTACCACCCGTTTGCCAGGAAGAATGGGAGTTTGGGTATTTGACCGCAATAAGGGTGCGCCACCAGCTCCCCTTCTCAAAAGCGAAACGCCAAAGCCATTTGGATAACATCGCTTGGTTGAAGCTAGCCAAATCCACAATCCCAATACCACCATTCTGCTTGGAAGCTTTGCATAAATCCCATTTGACCAGCGAGGATTTAGTGGCCTCCCCAGACCCGCTCCAAATAAAGTTACGCTGTAAATTTTCCATCCTCTTAATCGCCTTGACAGGAGCTCTAAAAAGAGAGAAGAAGTAAACAGGTTGACTAGACAAGACTGCTTTGTTTAAAACCAGTCTTCCCCCAAGAGACAAATGCCGCGCCCTCCATCCATTCAATCTTTTTTGCATATTAGCACATACCGGATCCCAAACAGAGGCAGCATTAGGTTTAGCACCTAACGGGAACCCAAGGTACTTAGCCGGCTCACCGCTCCAATTACATCCAAACACAGCCGCCAAAAACTCCGGGTTGGGGACATCCCCGACTTTGAACATAATCGACTTCCCCAAATTTAAACGCAGCCCCATCACTGCCTGGAAGCAAACCAAAGTCCCCAGAACACTGATCACTTGGTCAACGGAAGCTTCACAAAAGATCAGAGTGTCATCCGCAAAAAGCAGGTGGGTTACCTCTCCCTGACAACCGACTTCATCCATGCAGAATCCTCTAATTCTGCCATGATCCCTAAGCCTCGAAATCATGAAAGACAGAAGATCCATGACCAGATTAAAGATCCCAGGAGACAGGGGGTCACCTTGCCTAAGACCCTTCGAAGCCGGAAAATAGCCGTTGGCCTCACCATTCACAAGGACCGAGATCAAAGAGTTACATAGTCCGGGATGTCCCCATCAAACAGATTATAACTCGATATAACAGGAGGTACAAAGGGCACAGTGCACCTCAAGCTACAACTTACTGCTAACTAACCCACTACCACTCTACAAATCAGCTCATGAACCAATAGGGTTTTTTATCTCCTCTCCTAACCCAACCCGGTTGATCAGCATGCATTCCAAGACCCCTTTCATCCTCACTACAACCTCAACAGCTCCCAACCTCGTCTTCCCATACACCCGTCGACATCACTCTCGTAAAAATCTTAGCAATCAAAAGATTCCATAGCAGTCGCCCTTCTTTGTTTGAATAATAACATATGACAGCATCATGTAAACACTATCCCACCCTGCTTGAGGCAAGTAACCCCACCTAGGAGGAAAGACTATAAGCAAAACCTCCTGAACATAAGCAAGCAAAGAAGAGATGGTCTCATGACTCTTCATGAACTAAACAAAGAGGACAGAGGTTGATTATATTAGGCTTCAACTTCTTAATCTTGTGAAATGTATTAATCCAGTCCGATACCACAATCCATGTCAAAAGCGAGTTCCTGGGAACAGAGTACCTTTTTACAACAGGTCTGCCAAGATTTTCTTATCCTACATTGGCCTAAAGTGTTCCAAATTTTATGGACTCAAAATCTACGCATTAACTCTCCCTGCCAAGTCACTCCAGCCTGTGTTGCCACAAGATAATTCACCACCTTGCCTAGCAGCTTGAGAACTTTATTCCATAACCATGAACCAGGCATTCTAGTTTCCCAAATAGAAATGTTCCCAAGTCTGTATTCTTTTAACCTTGATATCCAAAGGGTTTCTTGGTCAGTAAGTACATTTCAGAGATTCCTCACAAGACAGGCCTGGTTCCAACTGTAGAGTTCTTTGAAACCAAGTCCCTCTTCAGCTTTAGGCAGAGCAATGACCTTCCAAGTAACCTTAGCATTCTTCTTCTCAGAGTCCTACAAAAAATCAGAGTAGGCTTTTTCCACAGCAGATATAACCTTCTTTGGTAGCTGAAATACCATCATCCAGTATTGAGCCACACTTGTCAGCACTGAAGTGACCAGTTGAAGCTTTCCAGCATAGAAAGAATTTTAGCTTGCCATCCTGTGATTTTCTTTGTGATCCTGTCCACCAATGCCTTACAATCGATTGATTTCAGCTTCCCAGCAATTAATGGTGCACCTAGATTACGAACTGGGAGAGAGCCCTCACTGAATCCAGATTTCAAGATGAGGTCAGCCTTTCAATCCTTCCCCATCCCACCTAAGAGAAGTTAAATGTTTTGTGGATTACATCTCATACCATATAAGTTAAATTGATGGAGGATCTCTACCACACCCTGAACTCCTTCCATATACCCCTTCATGAATATAAGCACATCATTTGCAAAACACATGTGAGAGAGCCCAATATTCTTGCATAAAGGATGAAATAGGAGTGCCTTAGTAGTGGTAGCCCTATTCAGCATACAACTTGGAGTTTCCACGACAATCACAAAGAGATTGGGGGGGGGGGGGGGATCCCCTGCCTCAACCCTTTTTTTGCCCGAAAGTGGCTTGGAAACCCTCCATTAACACAAACTATGAAGGAGGTACTTTCTAGACAGTTTTAAAGGCATCCTATGAACTTGCTAGGAAATTCCATAGCTTCCAATGCATCAAACAGATAGCCCCAATCCACACTATCAAAGGCCTTCATTATATCCCCTTTAGCAGCACATCTAGAGGAGATATTTAATTATCTGCCATACCACTTAACCATTTCATGCGCCAAAATGATATTATCACTGATCATTCTCCCTTTGATGAAGGCAGACTGATTATGACTAATAATAGAAGGCGGGACCTCTCCAAGTCTACATGCTATGGATTTAGAAATGCATTTATAGAAGAAATTAGAACATGAGATAGGCCTATACGGTTTCATGGTATCATGATTAGGAATCTTTGGCATTAGAGCTATAATTGTGTTATTTACCTCCTTGAGCAACCTTCCTGATAAGAAGAACTTTTGGACGGCCTGGATAACCAGATTACTCACCACAGACCAATTTTCGTGAAAGAATTCGAATGAGAATCCACCTGGACTCGGGGCTTTACCTCTAGCCATACCAAACACTATCTTCCTGACTTCCTCAGTTGTAACTGGATCACAGAGAAAACCAACATCTTCTGGTAAATGATGCATCAATATCCTCTTTATCATGCTTACTGGATATTTCCTGACCCCTGGATCTATCACTCCCAGTCCCAGTCCCAGAAGCCCTTCAGCAACAAGTTGTCTTATTGTATTCCTGTTGTTCCTATCCCTAATTGGAAATGATTGATGTCGAACTTAAGACAACAAATGCACCACCGCACGAGATAGTCCCTAAATCATAAACAAGAAACCTTAATATCGACATGCAAACCAACAAAACATATCTTACCTTCGTCGTCGTTGTCATCATCATCCTCGATATCCATCGTCGTCAATTTGCACCGTCGAGAGAAGTCGTCACATCATCGCGACTCCGACCATTGAAGCTCCGACCGAAGAGATGAGAGAAGAGAGAAGATGTCCTGAGCTGATGGCTTCACCATCAGAGAAGACAGATAAGATATTAGAAGGGAAGAAAGGGTGTTCGTTATCTTCAGTTACAGTGGAAAAAGAGGGTTAGGTACTTAGGCGGCCTTGCTATAGTGAATTAGGGTTTAGAATAGAAGTTTTATACCTCGTCCCCTAGCATGTTTACCATTTTTCAATTCTTGAACTTTTTTAAAATTAAAAGTATATAATCCAAAATTGTTCTAATTAAATAAGCTGCAAATAATATTATATTTAATAATATATCGATTTAAGTAGTGCCAGTTTAGGACGTTGTGAGTTGTGAATACATTTATCCGCAGATAACCGTACTCTCGAACATATAACTTGAATTTGCAGACTAGGTTTCGATTTTAACCCTAAGGTTAACCCCAATACCAAAATAGTGTTCGATCCACTTCAAACTAAGTTCGATGGAGACTTAGAAAAGTAAGTGAGTGCCTCGACACTAAGTGATAATTGCGACAATATTCATTATCCGACCTAAAATAGTTTGTTTTTATCCATACCCACAAAAATTGGGTAGAATATCAAAAACATGTCATACCCTATCAGATTTCACGTATTCACGGTTATATATCCATGGGTAATAATCTATTTTTGTAACTTCATCGAACATGCTAACATTCACACGTATAGTGCACATTATGTAATTGAAAAGTAACGATAAGAAATCACTAAAACTAAGAAGAAAAATTATAAATAATATAATTACGTTAAATATTGTATTTATATAATGAATATCAAATATGTTAAGAAAAATAATGATAAATGTTATATATAATACTTATGTGTGTGCATAATCGGGAAAGTTCGGGTTGGATAGTGACAAACCATGCCCACTCATTAGTCATTACCTACAATATTTAGATTCAGATTTATCCATACTGAAAATTCTTTGGGTTAGAGTTTTACCCTACCTGGTTAGGTCGGTTTTGAGAGGATATTGATGGTACGGATATTTTATGCCAAATCAAGAATTTGACGACTTTAGAAGATACTAAAGATTGCGATGGAGAAGTCGATAAAGTAAGGAGTATTAAATTAACTTTTATTTATATACTAGATTTTATCGAGAGATTGGAAAGGATTATGGAGAAACGGGGTGAATCCTTCGATGATGATAATCAATTTTTTTTTCAAATTATGTGAATTCCTAAAGGTGACATCAAAAGTGAAAATTTAATTAACGGGAAAAAGTTAGATTTAATATTAGATTATTTTTAAATTTTATGTAATTTTATCACAAAAATAGATTTGACCTCACACAAAAAATTGGTTTCACTTATTTTGATAATTGTTTCCGATTTAGATTGATTCAATTTATTATCTATATATTTCATTACATATATTATTTTTGTTCACATTTTTTAAAACCGTAACAGAGTTTGCACTGAAAAATCAGGGATATTGTTGAAGCCGTCGTTCAAACATTTTATATCACTAAAATTGTCTACTAGCTTAGGCTCTGATAGGCTGTTTTTTCCTCACACCGTTGATACGGTATAATTTTTCAAATACTAATTAAATTTAAAAATGTGATAATCAGACCACCAAATTTTTCAGATCACTAGACAGGGTTTTTGTTTTTAGGTTTAATTTTCAAAAGCTTCTAGAGTCTAGACCCATAAATTTTCAGACATTTTTTTTCTTTTTCATGAAATGGTAGTTTCCTTTTTGTGCAGGTTTTATTTTCTACTGTCTAGAAAAAAACTAGTGGTTAATAAACGGGATCCATTTCCCTTTTGTTGTGCTTCGTTACCTCTCATTCTCCTATAAATTAAATTCCTTTTGTCTTTCTCTTCCACCGAATTTGAGTCTCCCGATGACATATTCCCCTTCTTCATAATCTATTGAAGTCTTTGTAGAATGCACTTTCTTTTGTTTGTCGGTAAAATTTGTTTCCCAACTTCTAAATTCATTCGACATTTTAGGTGAGATTAATTGCAGGAACATGTGTATTTTTTTTTATCTCTATAAGCTAACTACGTCATAGTTCAAACAAAAAATTCTTCTTCCCAACTTCTAGATTCTTTACAAAAATCTCTCTTTCAATTGCGATTGAATCATAAGATTTTCGTGATATTGAGCTTTGAATTTTATTGAAGTACTTGTTTATGCCCTTAATATTTTGTGCTTATTAATTGAAATTGGAACTTACGAGTCAGAATATCAAATTTGGAACTATCAATTTAGGTCCTTTATTTGTCACTATCAATTCGTAACGTGCCCTTTCAAATCATACAGTTTCATATCTATAATCGATGTCCTAATCAACAAATATGATAAATACTAAAAAACATCTTCATGAATTATTGGACTATATAACAAATAAATCGTATAGATAATAATAATAATAATCAAAATAGATAATAATCAAACACCCGATAAACCGGCCGGGCACAAAGCAAGTTTGGTCTAAAAGATCACTTCATGCGGCCAAGTTCATGCCACATTCAGATTTGAGAACAATGGAACTTTATATGCTGGTAATACGAACAATCCGGAATTCCTAGCTCTAACGCTCATCACATTTGGCAGAAGACCTAAACGGTTCCACTGTTGGGACAGAATAGATAAGAATCTAAAGTACACCTGTTACTAAAACAAACGGTAGAACCAAAACAGGCATTCATGTGTTGCTAAACGGCGACAGCTTGGCAGTAGTATCCACGCTGACAGCTCATGAGATCAAGTGACAGTAAAAACATTGAGCAATCTCAAACAGGCGAATGAAAAACATTTCTTGAAACATGGATGTGCTGCTGATAGCACCCCGGTACCCGTAACAAGTGATAGGAGCTTATCTGGCAGATCACAGGAAGGCCTTTTCCTCAAGCAACTTCAGAACCTCCAGCCGATTGTTGAGCTTTGCAACATCGCTAGGAGTGTTGCGTAGCACGTTCTGCAAAGTTCTGCTCCACAAAAAAGTAAAAATAATAAAACATCATCCAGGAATGTACACCATGTTTAAGCATCCAACTTACACAGCAGCACCATTCTCGAGTAGGAGCTCTACACACTGTTCTCTCCCATACCCAACTGCATAATGTAGGGCTGTGTTCCTATTCATGTCCAACGCATCCACCTGTGCTCCATTCTGAAGAAGGATTTTAGCACAATCGACCTGCAAAAAGGTTTAAGATCTGCTTAGGAGAAAGAAAAATCAGATGTTTTCAACTAAGTTATCTGCACATGTCCAACAACACCAACATTCCAACGGAAGAATGCACTAACAAATCACAATTTACTCTTTCAATCTCAATTTCAGGAATTGCGGTCAGCAGTGCACCAAAAGGAAACAGAACTTAGAGATCCCTCATAGCATTGAGGAAATGACTCAGTAACCATACATTGCCGTGTTCACACGCCAAATGCAAAGCTGTTCTTCCCCGAGAGTCTTCTGCATCCTTTTCGCCGCCAGAGTCTAGTTCAGCTCTAAGCTTCTAACAATAATGCAGAGATCTAATGTAAGTTTCAGGCAATTGAAATAGATCAAAAGAACATGCACCAAAGTAATGATTGTAATTGAGAAGAATAGGGGGGAAAATGATTATCGACCCCAAGATCCGAAACTAGGGTGCGGTGGATGTTAGAAAACACTCAAGTTGAAGCAAGGAAACAACAAGTATGGTTATGTCAAGATCCCACGTCACCACTAGCCCAAGGTTGAAGTTAGAGAAACCTCAAGCTCAAGGAAAGAAACATCAAGTATGATTATGTAAATACATAATATAAGTCAATGTACTGCACACAAACCAGAACACTACATACTACATAAATACATAATATATCTAGACCATAATCATGTACTGTCCAGTCCAAAGTTTTTGCTCATTCGTACTGTTCCAAGCCAAGCTGATGGGAAGTGATATCCCACAATGCCACAGATGCATTTGCAGCAATGGGAATGTGAATGTATTCAAAAGCACCACATAATTCCTCAAAGGCTCAAAGCATTCAAATACATAACAAAAACAAAAAGAACATTACAGAAACTGGAGAATTCTACAGACACTTTAGTCCTATATCCACAGTAAGCATTTAGAATCACAACACAATGAAATCCATGTTTCCCTTACGTTAAAACTACACAGAAAGTACCAAAATACTACTTAGTGGCCTTCAAAACCAATGAGGTTAGGCTAAATACTAGGTTTTCATACTGGCCACTTAGTATCAATAAAGTACCAGTGCTACATACTAAATTGACAATAAATCATAGCTCACAGCAAACCCATTCAGCAAGTTTAGTTAATTCTACTCTTAAAAGATTATGTCTCAGTTTACAAAGCTCAAAATGTGTTAAAACATAATATGGTTTTTCTTTCCAAATCATGGATGACAAAATATTATGTTAAGCAAGCATTCACCAAAAGTGCAAGATTTCCAATTCTACAAGCACACACCATAAACAAGTGCTGGCGATAACTCTCCAATATATTCACATCAGCAAGCAATTGAAACGGAGAAAGACCATGAACCTGTTGCAACTACCAACCTCCGCAATCCCGATTCTGGCACAAAGATGAACAGAAGATCCATCAACATTTCCACCTTCCGGAGGAGAAACCCCTAGACCCATGGCTTCACTAAACTGCTTCATAAAATCTTCGTCATTCCAGTATCTGTGGAAACAAGTTTCTCAATCATTGAATAAGATGCAAGGTAGGATCAACTCCACCTCCATTTAACTACTGAGACAGAAGAATGAATGATTATAAGAGTCATGCTTTGTAAGATGTTAAGAAATGAACTGGAGGTCTGAGGTTTTTATTCCCAACCTAGTCATGGTAGCAGGATTTCCACTCTCAATCATGCCTATAATAGGCTTCAATAAAGAGACTTCCTTCATGTGTGCTATTATTTCCTCCTTTGGATCTTTTTGCTGTGGAGTTGGCAAATGCTCAGACATGTGGGACTTTCCTTTTTTTGGTAAGACAGGCATATGGGACAATTTTAAAACAGGGTCTGAAGAAGGGTTCTCCTTTGTGGATGCCATTGTTTCCTCCATTTGATATTTTTTCAGTGGAGTCAGCAAATGTTCAGGCATATGAGACCTTGGTAGATCCTAACGAAAAAAGAAACTTAAACTTCAATCTCAAACCACCATCAATCCAATAGAATCAAATGAAGTAAAATAGTTTCAAGCCCCCAGTCAATCTTTATTATTACCTGCTCTAATGCATTTTCAACAAATTCAGCGAAGTCCATAAATTGAGGGTTCTGCATAACATGCTCCATGGTAGAATGATATTCCTCCATATCAAACTGAGGCCCATTCATATCAGCAGGTGCACCTTGGAATGATTTCAGCAACAAATCTGCCATCTGAAGAAATGAAGGATCTTTTGCTACTTCTTCAACTAGTCTCTTAATTCCCGGATCCTGAAAAATCCACATTTATTTAGAATTCAATGAACCAGAAAATGAGATGAATATGAGAGAAGAGATCAGAAAATGGAAGAGAATTACTGCATTAAACCTGTTCATGAATTACAAAGAACCATAATATAACTACTACAAAAAACTGATCATAGAGGCAAATCAAAATGGCAGATCAGTGGCTCCAAAGTTCAACAAGATGTCACATAACGCGAATAGTTTCAGCATCTTCTCACCAACCATAGCTACACATAATTATTATCTATATACTATAGGGATTTAATATGTCTTTAAGTAATCTTGTTGATGAAGCCGCTTGAGCTAGTAAGCAGACAGCAGCAGCTTCATATATCATTTGGTTGTAAAAGTCTCCGCTTTTCTATTGCAATAAAGACAATGCGAAAAAAACGAAAACAAAGGTCTCCTTTCTATTTGAAGTAGTGAAAATAATTGTTTCATGTTTTCCATTAGTACCCACAAGGCAGTAGCCATATGATCAGCTACATCAACTGCACTACTAGGCGGAAGAAAAATAACTCATACATCATACCAAACGTATTTTCGGTCATCTTTAACAACATGCCATGAGCCAGAGCAAGTTTGCATTGACCGCCCCTCACAAACACACACTCAGCAGAGTTGCATTTTAGATAATAATTCCAGAACATCATACAGAAACAAAGAAAAAAGGGAAATGGAGAATCAGCCACAAAAGAAACAATAAAAGCTGGGACGGACAACATTAAGTGAGTTGAGTAAGGAACATACATTGAGCAGGTCAGACATTGCTGGGAAATCAAAAGTATTGGGAGCAACAGCTGCTCCTGGTCTGGCAGAAGATGTTCCTCGCTCTGACTCTAATGCTGCAGAAGATGCTTCAGGTTTTATAGTTTTTTTTTTTTATGAATGAAAATGTAGCCTCTTGGGAAAGGCAAAAGAAATATGAGAACTATTGCCAAAGCCATTAAAATCCAGAGCCCATATGGTAGCATCAACCAGAAACTTTCATCATCGTTAAATATCACATCCAAACAATAAAAAACACATAGCTCAACAGGAACGAGAACAGGATTGGCTGGATTAGCGATTATTGTGGTATTGCATAAGAGGTATTTCCACATATAAGCTTGTACATATACAGAAATGGATCTAAGGTTTTCAGGAGATCAATTGACCATGTACGTAGAATGGACAACATATATTATGCACAGAGGTATGACGAACAGCTAGGAAAGCATATATACCATCCTTGTCGAAATCTTTGGGAGGCATGACGAACAGCTGAAATCGATTCAACAAGAAAAGTCAATCGCGCTAGGTTATAATCGGTCAATCAGAAAGAAATCTCTGCATATATGTCACAATCTGGGCTCAAACTGGATCTAATACGGCGTATCCTAACACTACTATATAGACACTCCCCGTCAAAACATATGGAATTCTAAAATTCTAGGCTCATGCGCAATTGACGAAAGGGCTCTCCTGTAATTTGGAATGAAGCATTTATCGGCCTTGCGGGTTGTGATTCAGCTTTTGCTGCTTCAATTCCCTTCATTGTCTACATGGGTTCGATTAATACTTATGGGCTTGGTCTTACTATATTGATCCATTAAACCACATTAAATAGAAACCCAGAAACTCAAATGATGTATAAAGCAACATAGGTTTTATCAGCTGGGTTTCATGTGATCATGCCACTAAATTTTAGTTTGGTTGCATTCAAAATTTTAAAATTCTAATTAACCGTGAGTCCGTGAGTAGATTTGTTGAATAGGATCTACAATAAAAGATGGGAACGGAAAGGGTACAACACTCCTGCCTACAAAACATCGCAAAATCTTATTCGTATCATCATATTACGATTTACGACATCATATCACCTCCGATAGGATCGTATAAGGGTGATACAACGCTACGACTGCGGTTTTGCAGGTCGAGGTTTTATAGCTGAACCCAAGCCATTAAAAATTCTGAAATAATTTATTTCGCAAATATAATTATTATTCATGAATGGAAAACAACTTGAACTTGAAAAATACTATCATTTCCATATGTACCTGGGGCACACTAAAAGTGTTATAAATTTCAAAATTGTGAATGTTATTCCCATGTGAATGGTATTGCACGGGGCAAGTAGATATCAAATTAATTGTCATTCTCACATACTATATATGCAACCTATCTCAAAATGTTGAAGAACACCCCAACGAGTACTTTTGTGAGAATTGTACAATGATATAAGGAAGACAAGAATTACGTAATAATTCATCTATACTTTTTCATTATTTTTCAGCTTCATATTCATTTATTCGGGCAAACAACTTCATACCTACGAAAACGTAAATTATGTTAATAGATAGTTAATTTCATTTGTTTTCATTTTACAAATTCATGATCCAAATCCTTATTGAGAGAAAATACGTTAAATCTAAATTTTTTTACATCAAGCTCACCGAATACAACATTCCAGACCCTATAAGTGAGAACACAGTTTTAAAGATAAGGAAGGGTAAATTTTACACCAGCTAAAATTAAGAGAGAATAGACTACGGGATAAAGAAGAACCGAGACTAGCTAGATGGAGGTTAAGAGAATTGAGAAGGATTTGAGGAAAATTTAATAATTTATAGAAATTTAATGAGCGATTGGGGGCAAGAATGTTGGGACGCTAAAACTATTCAAAATATGTCGAAAAATATTCTTACCCTCAATAATAATAACTAATCCTTCATCAATACATCCCCTATGAAAGATTATTTCCCTCGAGAATCGACCCGAATTTGTATAAACTTCTTCCTGTACTTCCAATTTAAGACTCAACCGCTCTTCCGCTTCCAATTCACTCCAGCTCTCGCAATTGATACTGCCAACAACCACAAAGTAGTTGCATCATCCTTCTTTATCACACTAGCTGCTTCTTTGACACCGAGATATCCGCCAAATCATTCAAATAAATCTTCACAAGCTCATTTAAGACAATCGATGTGGGTTGTAATGACGTAAATGATGTTGTTGGGTGATAGGGTAACTAGGCTATGAAACCAATTGATGAGAGAGGGATCTTGATATCCTAGATTGATTAACGTAAATATAGAATTAGAGGAGAATTAGACAAAATAAGATAAATAAATAGACAATGATGCGAGACTAGAGAATTAGGGGGTCATAAGAGAATTTTTTTTGTGATAACAGGGCGCTAAGGCGCCATCAGAAGAGAATTGGTGGTTTGAGATAATTATTGTTTCAAAAGAATAGAATTAAGGACCAGAGAGGAGAACAAAGAGAGGTTTGAGATAATTGATTAGGTAAATCTTATGTTTATTCTCTAATAATCTAATTCTAGGCCATTGACTTACCGCCATCCAAAACTCACAAAACACAATTCACTATATCAATCTCACAGCTTCCCTTCTAAACAAATCCATATTACAAGAATAATTAACAACAACAAAGTAATAACTAAGTATTCTTTCACCGGAATCAGATAATGAATATAATGGCGTTGTGGAGAAGAAGAAAGAGACTATTTGATGGTATACGAGTTTTAATTAATATGGGCCTCCAAAGCATGAATACTTATTCCAACTTCATTTATTGACAAATGGCAATCTAACTAGCTAATAATTATGTTTTATATGCGCTTTGATTGTGATGTTATTCAAGAACATTGGAATATCAGGTCTAGTTCAATATAATTCACCGTGTTCATTAAATTTACTATATTCACTATTATATTACACACGCCTAACTCTTATTAGGCAATTTGTACATTAAAATTTAGAGATCTTAATACATAAGTTCATTACGAAAATGGATACGACACCGAAAAAGTGGAATTACTTAATTGAATAGGAAGATAAAGTAACAGTGGTATTTTCTTGGAATTACACAACAACTAACTTTCACACGACTACTATATAATTCATGGATTAGAGACACTCTGCTACTCCACCCAACACATCCCACCCTTTCCAGTTGTGCTTCCTTCCTTTGCAACATCATTGAAAATGACAACATCAAGATAATTCGACCATTTTTAACATGAAATTGGATTTGTTATAGTTCCATGATGAACAACTGAATATACATGCCAAGTGATGAAATTTTAATTTTCTATAACATAATTTATATTATTTTTCATTGAATGCATAAATTATATTACTAATGCAACAAAATTCATGTGCCAAAATTCAATAGCTTAAGTGCATATTACAATATTAAATTAAATATAGTTAATATAAAGACCTTCCGGGAGATTGGTGTCTTACTAAAAAATGGATATATGCATTTCATACGAGACGACATAAAATGAGGTGATTGCTTGAGTGGTGTGGAGTTCCCTTTGCCTATTTAGACTTTGGTGGGATGTACTGGTTGAATAATTATGAGATTTAGCCTTTAACAACTAAAAATAAAATATACTACAATGATTTATTTTGTTTTTTTTAATGTCATTACCATCATTATACAAATTTAGGGTAAACCTTCGAGTTGCAGACAAAACAACAGAAACCGACTTTGTTGTAATGGATAGACTGGGAGCTCGATTTTTTGAAATATCGGCTAAAAGACTATACTTAGTTATATTCTTTAATCTAATTGATATTGCAAAGTCCCAATGAAGGGAGTTGATGTTTGAGATAACATAATTGGCTTGATTAATTATATTAAAAATAATAAGCCTCTGATTAAAAGGTGGAGAACACCCTTTTATTTCTTTCACTGCCTGCTTGGACTATAGTGGATTTAGAATTTAGAATTTTTGTATTCAATGGGGTAACTTTGCCTCCGTTCCCACTAACTTGCAATTAATTTTATCTGGTTACAAATTACCTACATATATTGACCACTTATGATTGGATGAAATCACACAATATGTTGTACTTTGGAATGTCAATGACCTAATTAAATCTCATAATGTTGATGCAGGAGAACAAGAATGACACTGCTAATTAAATCTCATAATGCTCAATGAAATGCAGGAAAACAAGGAAGAGATAAAT